GTAGAGAAAATCAGCAAAATCAAAACCTGTTTATTTGAAGGTAGGTGAAACTCATAAGCCTCCAGCCAGGCTAAGAAAAAAAGGAGACACAAATTACTAATATGAAAAATGAAAGGGGTGACATCACTAATGTCCTTTTATGGATAATGAAAGGATCATAAAGGAATATTATGAAAAACTTGATGCCCACAAATCTGATAACCTAGGTGAAATGAAACAATTCCTTGAAATACACATTCTGTCAAAACTCATTCAAGAAGAAATACACAATCTGTGCTGGGAGATGGTGGCTCATGCATGTAATCCCAGCACTTTGGGAGGCTGAGGTGGGAGGATCTCTTGAAGTCAGGAGTTTGAGAACAGCCTGGGCAACATAGTGAGACCCTGTCTCTACAAAATAAAAAATGTGATGGGTATGGTGGTGCGTGCCTGTTGTCCCAGCTACTTGGGAGCTGGAGGTGGGAGGATTGCTTGAGCATAGGATGTCAAGGCTGCAGTGAGGAGTGATTGCACCACTGCACTCCAGCTTGGGCAACAGAATGAGAGCCTGTCTCAAGAAAAAAAAGACAATCTGAACAGGTCTATCTGTGTTAAAGAAACCAAATCAATAACTAATAACCTTTCAAAACAGAAAGCACCAGGCCCAGATACGTTCACTGGCGAATTCTACCAAACATTCAAGAAAGAAATTATGTCACTATTCTATAGTCTCTTCCAGAAAATAGCAGAGAGAATACTTCCTAACTCATCCTAGGACGACAGTATTACCCTAGTACCAAAATCACACAAAGCCATTATAAGAAAAGAAAACTATGGGACCAATATCTCTCATGAACATAGATGCAAAATTCCTCAACAAAATACTAGCAAGTACAATCTAACAACGTAAATAAAGAATTATACACCAAGACCAAGAGGGATTTATCCTAGGTATGCAAAGCTGGTTTAATATTCAAACTTATTTAGATATACAAATTATCACACCAACAGGCTAAAGAAGAAAAATCACATGATTATATTAATAGATGCAGAAATCACTTTTGACAAAATACAACACCCATGATAAAAAAAAAATCTCAGTAAACTAGTACTAGAGGGGAACTTCCTTGACTTGATAAAGAATATCTGCAAAAATCCTACAGCTAACATTGTACTTAACAGTGAGAAACAGCTTTCCTGCTAAGATCAGGAACAAAGCAAGGATGTCTCCTCTCACCACTCTTATTCAACACTGTGCCGGAGTCTTAGCTAATGTGATAACACAAGAAAGGGAAACAAAAGGTATACAGATTGGAAAGGAGGAAAAAATATACTCTCTGTTTGCAGATGACATGTTTGTCTATATAGAAAATCTGAAAAGAATAAACAAAAAAATTCTAGGCTGGGCGTAGTGGTTCACACCTGTAATCCTAGCACTTTGGGAGGCCAAGGTGGGTGGATCACTTGAGCCAAAGAGTTCAGAGACCAGCCTGGGCAACATGACAAAACTCTGTCTCTACCAAAAATACAAAAATTAGCCAGGCATGGTGGTGCATGCCTGTAATCCCAGCTACTTGGGAGGCTGAGGTGGAAGAATCGCATGAGCCTGGGAGGTGGAGTTTACAGTGAGCCTAGATCACACCACTTCACTCTGGCCTAGGTTACAGAGTGAGGCTCTGTCTCAAAAAAAAAAAAAAAAAAAAGGAAGAAAAAAAGAAAATTTAAAATTAGAAAATTAATAAGTAATTATACCAAGGTTGCAGGATATAAGGTTAATGTACAAAAGCCAATCACGTTCCTAGATACCTACAATGAACAAGTGGAACTTGAAATTAAAACACGATACCATTCAGCTAGTATCATACTGAATGGGGAAAAACTGAAAGCCTTCCCTCTAAGATCTGGAACACAACACAGATGCCTACTTTCACCACTGTTGATTCAACATAGGACTGGAAGTCCTAGCTAGAGTAATCAGACAAGAGAAAGAAATAAAGGGCATGCAAATTGGAAAAGAAGAAGTCAAATTATCCTTGTCTGCAGATGATGTGATCTTGTATTTGAAAAAACCCTAAAGATTCCACACAAAAAGACATTAGAACTGATAAATTCAGTAAAGTTGCAGGATACAAATCAACATAGAAAAATCAGTAGCATTTCTAGATGCCAACAGTGAACAATTTGAAAAAGAAATTAAAAGAGTAATCCCATTTACAATAGCCACAAATAAGATCAAACACCTAGGAATTAGCCAAAGAAGTGAAAGATCTCAATAACGAAAACTATGAAACACTGATGAAAGAAATTGAAGAGGACATCCAATAATGGAATGAAATTCCAGGATCATGGATCAGAAGAATCAATATTGTTAAAATGTCCATAATACTCAAAGCAGACTACAGATTCAATGCAATCCTCATCAAAATACCAACGACATTCTTCACATAAATAGAAAAAAAAAATCCTAAAATGTATATGGAACCCTAAAAGACCCAGTATAGATAAAGCTATCCTAAGCCAAAAGAACAAAACTGGAGGAATCACATTACTTGACTTCAAATTATACTACAGAGCTATAATAACTAAAGCAGCATGGTACTGGCATAATGACAGACACATAGACCAATGGAACAGAATAGAGAACCTAGAAACAAATCCACACACCTACACTGAACTCATTTTCACAAAGATACCAAGAACACACACTGGGGAAAAGACAGTCTCTTCAGTATATGGTGCTGAGAAAACTAGATTTCCATATGAAGAAGAATGAAACTAAATCCTAGACTTCTGTATCTTGTCATGTGTAAAATCAAATCAAAAGTGTTTAAAGACTTAAAATATTGAACTATGAAATTACCACAAGAAATCATTGGGGAAAATCTCCAGGACATTAGTGTGGGCAAAAATGCTTTCCTGCCTTCCTGCCTTCCTTCTTTCTTTCTGACAGAGTCTTGCTCTATCACCCAGGCTGTAGTGCAGTGGCGTATTGTCTGCCCACTGCAACTTCCACCTCCTGGGTTCAAGCCTTTCTCGCATCTCAGCCTCCCAAGTAGCTGGTATAACAGGTGTGTGCCACCATGCCCCAGTAACGTTTGTATTTTTAGTAGAGCCAAGGTTAAACCATGTTGGTCAGACTGGTCTTGAACTCCTGGCCTCAAGCAATCCACCCCCTTAAGTGTCACAAAGTACTGGGATTACAGGCATGAGCCACTACACCTTGCTCAAAAGTTTATTTAGCAATACCCTACAAACAGAGGCAGCCAAAGAAAATTGGATTAATGGGAGCACATCAAGTTAAAAAGCTTCTGCAGAGCAACCTCTTGGGTATCTAGGTCTGCTTTTACTGGATTCACCTGCATGTACCTGGTCTGGGGGTACAGGGTTGATCCCTGGCCAGCCTGTCAGAGAACTATGGCTCCATGGCCCCTAGACCCCAGGCTCCCGGTCAGCCTGTGACACAGGGCGACAGCGACTGAGCAGGAAGCTGCTGTGGAAACCAAGTGGGGACTTTACTGATAGTGACAGTGATGATTTTGAAGAGGCTGAGGGCCGGTACTTCAGGGTGTGTTTCAAGAAGCTGCCCCTGGAGGGAGGTGGTAGGGAGGTAGTGGGGAGCTGCGCTCACCCCGGCCTGTCCCCCCCAGCTCAGCCAGCAGTCACACTGCCCAGACTTCTTTCTCTTCCTCTGCCGCCTGCTCAGTCCACTGCTCAAGGCCTTTGCACAGGCTGCCGCCTTCCTCCACCAGGGCCAGCTGCCCGATACTGGTGAGGCCCTTGTTCCCTTGCAGTCCTCGAGGCAGGCTGTCTGTGTAGGGCACCAGGTCTAGGTCTTCTCTTTTCCGCAGAGTCGGGCTGCACAGAACAGCTGTTCCAGTTCCTCCAGGCCACCGCCCAGGAAGAAGGGATCTTTGGTGAGTCCCAGCCAGTCAGCCCAGGCTCCTGGAGGCAGGGGTGTTTGCTGATGGTTGCTGCCCCCTGCCGGACAGTGAACCCAACTCTAGGAAGGCGGCTGCAGAGTTCAGAGGGTCTTCTGTCCAGTCTGAGCTCTAGCCCTCCCTGGGCTGCTGCTTTACACAAGAGAACCCTGTGCCCAGTGGCTCCCTGTTCTCCCTACCTAGAGCCTTCACGTCTCTCTCCTCTCCAGAGTGTGCGGACCCAAAGCTCGCCATCAGTGCTATCTGGACCTTCAGAGACCTAGGGGTGAGAGGAGCCACTGTCACCATCTTCTGTCCCGCTGTTCCCACCCCGATAGAGTGGCTCAGGGACACCCAGCTACGTCCCCATCACCCCACGGGGCTGGCGTGATGGTGTCTCATTAAGACCCTAGGATTTGCTTGGTGTCTTCCAGCAACATACGTGGTGATGGGTTGGAGAAGATGGGATGGTCTCCTGCCTCTTGGTCTCCCAAATCACTGGTTCATCCTTCTAGGTGGGGTATTAGGGCTGCGTTGAGGCAGTTTTTGCACAAAACACTGAGGTTTAAGGGGCCAGAGGTCTCACGGCAGGTTTCTGGGGGACAGGCTTGGCCCCTGGGCCCGGTGGACACAGTCTCTGTGTTGAGGGTACTCATGGCCCATCTTCCATGGCCCAGGTTCTGCAGCAGATGCCGAGCCCTGCAGGCCCCAGGCTCCACCTGTCCCCTACTTTTGCCAGCCGGGAGAATCAGCAAAAACTAGAACAGTTTATCCGGCAGTTCATTTGTAGCTAGAACTGTGAGAAGGAGCCTGTGCCGAGACTTCTCAGCCCCACAACACAGCCGTGTCCTAGAGCCAGAAGACGGAGAGGAGGGTGCAAACCCTTAGCTGGTCTATAAATATAATCATTGAGGCTTGATTGTCCCTTGCCATCTCTTGCTTTCTCCCTCCTTTGATGTGATAAACAAGGGGACCAGACAGGTTGTCTTTTCCCAAGCCCAGGAGTATCTTTGTGGCGTATGCGTGTGTATTTGCTCTCTTCTTCCCCAGTCCCACAAAATGCCCCGACTTGTCCCATGAAACAAAGCCCAAAAGAAGACAAACAGCAGAAGCCAAGCTGCTGCTTTGGCCTGACAAATTTATTGAAGAGAGCTCTGTCCTCCTCCCTTCTACCCAGAAGAGGCGGCTTCCGGGCCGGCACCTGCCCATACCTGTCACTGGGCCTTTCCCTGGGCTAGGCTGAGTGGGAGCAGATGCCCCCATCCTATGTCCAGGGCCTGTGCAGGAGCCATCACACCACCTTGTTGATGATGACTCCTAGTTCTTCAATCTCACACTGGACTTCATCCCCCTTCTGCAACAGAGCAGGCCATGAGGGTGTCAGCCCTTCCGTCAGACACACACACATCCACACAAGCCTGTACTTCTCAAGTCTGAGCCAAGCCTGCCAGGCCTTCGGGGCCCTTGCTCTCTTTCCTTTTCGCTAACCTACCTTGAGAAAGACAGGAGGTTTCCTGAATACACCGACACCTGGGGGGGTCCCAGTCAGGATGACATCCCCTGGGTAAAAGGTGACAAACCTGGAGCAAAGCCAAAGGACCCGGTGAGACCAGGGGCTGGCTGAGGTGGTCACAGCCAAGGGTGGAGGGCTCAGCTCAGCCTCCACATGTGGGCGGATGGAGTGGGACTGGCGGGACAGGCCCTGGCACTCACTGGGAGACCCAGGCTATTAGGTCCTCCGTCTTGAATACCATCTGGTTGGTGTTGCTGCTCTGGACCACTTCCCCGTTCACTCGGCAGCAGATCTTTAAGTTGTGTGGATCTGAAATGCAAAGATGGTACCTTAGGGTTATCCCTTTCCCCCCTTAAGCCCCCCAGTATTTCATAAACACAACTGTAGTGGACCTTTGTGACTTGCCAGGTGAAAGGGCTTTGTGCCCACATTGACTCAGTGCTCTACGTTAGAACTTTCTGTATAGACATTGGCCTTTTCAGGCCTCCCTGCATCCCCGCCAAGAGCACCCGGCAGTAGTCACAGGGCTGAGTTGACAGGATGTTCCAGACTCTGAAGAGGGAGAGAAAAATGGCTCAGGTTTTTGCTTTGGGAAAAAAAGGGCATCTGTCTACAGCATAGGATGACACCTGTAGATACAAAAATGGCTCCTGGGCAGGGCCAAGCCTGGTGCTCACGCCTGTAATCACAGCACTCTGGGAGGTCAAAGCAGGCAAGGACTGATTAAGCTCAGGAGTTCAAAACCAGGCTGGGGAACGTAGTGAGTGCTTGTCTCTATAAAAAATAATAAAAACATTAGCCAGGCGTGGTGATGCATGCCTGTAGTCCCAGCGACTCAGGAGACTGAGGTGGGAGGATCGCTTGAACCCTGGATATTGAGGCTTCAGTGAGCTGAGATTGGGCCACTGCACTCCAGCCTGGGTGACACAGTAAGACCATTTCAAAAGAAAAAAAAAAAAAAAAGACTTAGCATCTATAAAGCAGTGAGGTAATAGTTCTAGCCAGGACAGTGAAGCCTCATGTAATGGAAGATGGCAGGGGATGGATTAGTGTAAGAACATCCTGGCTAACCAGCACTTTCAACTGTTGGTGGTGGTCTTAGTGTTCTACCCCCCTTAAGTAGAGCAGCTGAAACACAATTTAACTTTACTGAGGACTCTGCATGGGGTGCTGTGAGGTAATGGGGTCTTTGGCATCCTGGCATGGCTGGCCCACATGGACACCTCCCCCCAACCACCTCCACCACAGTTGTAGGCGGCTGTGTTAAGAGGCTGCGCTCTGCCCTCTGGGGCACTGCCCCCGTCCTGGCGCTGCCTCCTCACTGTATGTGGTCGGTGCCGTTCTGTTTCCACAATGGCTGAATAAGTCACACGGGCTCTCATGTCCTGTACTGTGGAAGATGCCAGGGCCTTGTGATAACTATGCTCCATGATGCTCAACTTAGATTGTTTCAGATGGCGGCAGCCACAGGAAGCCTGATCCACCCATCAGCTCAGTGTTGTCATTTACTTCCTGCAGTTTCACATCCTCTGCAGTTGTGTTCCCTCTAGGGGGCTTGGGAAGGAAGCCCATGGGAGAACTCATGGCTGAGGGTAAGAGACTTGGCCTGTGTAGAGTCAGCACTGAAAGGGTGGCCAGGGAGGGCAGGCGCCGCATGTACCTGAACCCACGCTCCTCCTTGGAACGCTGTTCATCTGTGCAATGGTAGGTACAAGGGGGCAGGGTCCAGGGACCTACCTGCTACACTGTCCTTGGTCACCAAGGCAGGGCCCAGAGGGCAGAAGGTGTCGAAGGTTTTCCCCAGCAGCCACTGTTTCCCATTGCGTCTCATTTGCCAGTCACGAGCACTCACGTCATGGGCCACAGTGAAGCCGGCCACGTGGGCCATGGCATCTGTGGCCTATGGGGCAGGGGATGTGGCCATACAGGAGGTTAGATCACGGGTGACACCAACACCTTTGGCAAAGGATCTCTAAGCTGTTATCCCGTGTTAGTAGCCAGGACCAGCCAAAGGTGGGTGAAGGGCAAGGCAGTGTCAGGGAGCAAGGAGGTTGACTGCTTCCCAGGGTCAGGGACAGCTGGCACCGTGTGTTGGTGAGAGGTCAGCACTGGGAGAGGCAGGAGCTGGGGCCTCTGCTACACTCTGGCCTGGGAGCCCCACCTTTCCACCTCACCTTGATGTGCTTGCCTTTCTTTCCAATGACCACGGCCAGCTCTGCTTCCCAATCTACTTCCTGTAGGGTGGGAGAGGAACAGTGAGCTGCAGTGACTTCGGGGTCCATTGTCCATGCTGAGAGGCTGCACACGGTGCTGAAGGGCCTGGACCTTTGTCATTAGGGCTTGGGTGCCAGCCCATGTTTGCCATCACCACGAAGCAGAGCCAAGTGAATGACAAGGGAGGTGTGACTTGCAGACCCATACATTTTGGGCAGTGGCAGACAGCATCACGGGATGCAGGCACAGGTCCTCTCCCCACTGTGACTGCAGAAGAGCAACATGTGTCCAGCGCACTGAGTTTAAAAGTTACTCTGGATACTTTTAACAAAGAATAAATACGAAGTAATATCCTCCAGCAATATGTAACCTTACTGTATGTCAGGGACTATTCTAAATGCTGTAATGTTATTAACTCACTTTAGTAAGAAAAAGATTGACATCCCACAAAGGACTTGAGTAAGCAATTCACAAAAAGGCAATGGACATGGCCAGAAAACATGAAAATAGGCTCAGCCTCTCCCATAATCCATAAAATACAACTACAAAATAGATATAATTTGGAAATTGGCAGCTCTTTCTGATAATAACCAGTTGGTATGAGTACACCTGACACCCAGATGTTGGTCTCTAATACCACTCTCCATTAAAAAGCACCGGGGAAATGGCTAATTTCCTTGGGGAAATGGCTAATTCCAGGTCCAAGACAGACAGTACATGATAAGACTAGAACGGTCACCAAGGCAGGGCCCAGAGGGCAGAAGGTGTCGAAGGTTTTCCCCAGCAGCCACTGTTTCCCATTGCGTGTCGTTTGCCAGTCACGAGCACTCACGTCATGGGCCACAGTGAAGCCGGCCACGTGGGCCATGGCATCTGTGGCCTATGGGGCAGGGGATGTGGCCATACAGGAGGTTAGATCACGGGTGACACCAACACCTTTGGCAAAGGATCTCTAAGCTGTTATCCCGTGTTAGTAGCCAGGACCAGCCAAAGGTGGGTGAAGGGCAAGGCAGTGTCAGGGAGCAAGGAGGTTGACTGCTTCCCAGGGTCAGGGACAGCTGGCACCGTGTGTTGGTGAGAGGTCAGCACTGGGAGAGGCAGGAGCTGGGGCCTCTGCTACACTCTGGCCTGGGAGCCCCACCTTTCCACCTCACCTTGATGTGCTTGCCTTTCTTTCCAATGACCACGGCCAGCTCTGCTTCCCAATCTACTTCCTGTAGGGTGGGAGAGGAACAGTGAGCTGCAGTGACTTCGGGGTCCATTGTCCATGCTGAGAGGCTGCACACGGTGCTGAAGGGCCTGGACCTTTGTCATTAGGGCTTGGGTGCCAGCCCATGTTTGCCATCACCACGAAGCAGAGCCAAGTGAATGACAAGGGAGGTGTGACTTGCAGACCCATACATTTTGGGCAGTGGCAGACAGCATCACGGGATGCAGGCACAGGTCCTCTCCCCACTGTGACTGCAGAAGAGCAACATGTGTCCAGCGCACTGAGTTTAAAAGTTACTCTGGATACTTTTAACAAAGAATAAATACGAAGTAATATCCTCCAGCAATATGTAACCTTACTGTATGTCAGGGACTATTCTAAATGCTGTAATGTTATTAACTCACTTTAGTAAGAAAAAGATTGACATCCCACAAAGGACTTGAGTAAGCAATTCACAAAAAGGCAATGGACATGGCCAGAAAACATGAAAATAGGCTCAGCCTCTCCCATAATCCATAAAATACAACTACAAAATAGATATAATTTGGAAATTGGCAGCTCTTTCTGATAATAACCAGTTGGTATGAGTACACCTGACACCCAGATGTTGGTCTCTAATACCACTCTCCATTAAAAAGCACCGGGGAAATGGCTAATTTCCTTGGGGAAATGGCTAATTCCAGGTCCAAGACAGACAGTACATGATAAGACTAGAACATCTTGGTCAAAAAGCTAGGATATACAAAAAGTGACGGGAATGGAGCCAACTTGAAGGCCCCTCACTGGCCAAACTGAGGTCACCTAAAGAATGTAAATGATGAATTACAAACAATTGAGTAAAAACAAAAATCATGAATTCACAGTGATATTGAAGACACAGGAATAAAAAGAGGAGAGGCAGCTTTTCTTCATAGAAGAATGCCAGCCAATAAAAACAGAAGGCATGATTGAGAAGAGTCATTGATCTTGGCCAGGCATGGTGGCTCATGCCTGTAATCCCCGCACTGCGGGAGGCCGAGGCGGGCGGATCACCTGAGGTGAGGAGTTCAAGACCAGCCTAGTCAACATGGTGAAACCCTGTCTCTACTAAAAATACTTGGGTGCCAGCCCATGTTTGCCATCACCACGAAGCAGAGCCAAGTGAATGACAAGGGAGGTGTGACTTGCAGACCCATACATTTTGGGCAGTGGCAGACAGCATCACGGGATGCAGGCACAGGTCCTCTCCCCACTGTGACTGCAGAAGAGCAACATGTGTCCAGCGCACTGAGTTTAAAAGTTACTCTGGATACTTTTAACAAAGAATAAATACGAAGTAATATCCTCCAGCAATATGTAACCTTACTGTATGTCAGGGACTATTCTAAATGCTGTAATGTTATTAACTCACTTTAGTAAGAAAAAGATTGACATCCCACAAAGGACTTGAGTAAGCAATTCACAAAAAGGCAATGGACATGGCCAGAAAACATGAAAATAGGCTCAGCCTCTCCCATAATCCATAAAATACAACTACAAAATAGATATAATTTGGAAATTGGCAGC